ACATTGGAAACATAATGCAAAATTAGGTGCTTAGAATGATGAAACTAAAGAAAGATTAAATGCAAAATTAGGTTTGTGGACAAATACATTAGAAAGAAGAGGTTTTAAAATAAATACGACTAGCACGGAAATGAAGTCGTATGAAGGAAGTAGTATATGGGAAAGTTAACACTCTGGATTTCTTACAAAGAAGAGACCTTGTATTTGTATTTCTCCAAATTGGTGCACTCTTTGTAAATCTGATAGTGAATCTTGTTACCACTTACTAATTTCCTGTTCCTTCGCTGCAGATATTTGGGATTGGTTTTTCTCTTTGTTTGGGTGTAGGTGGAATGTGCCAATGGAGATTAAGATGTTTGATTCATCAGCTTTTGCTTGGCCAAAGAGAAGGTAAAGATTAATGTGGAGATGCTCTAGGGCAGCAGTGATTTGGACCTTGTGGGAAGAAAGAAATGCTAGGATCCTCCAAGAAGAGAGAAGCAAGCAACAAGTTATAAACCGTGTAATGATTAGAGTTATACATTGGCTACTAACTTCGGATTTGTTTAAATAGTACTCCTTTGATGATATTTGGAGGAACTGGTACTCGATGGTTTCAGGCTCAGTGCAGAAGGTTAAAACAAGGTTGGCTTGGGTACCTCCATTTGAAGATTTTCTGAAACTAAATTTCGATGGAAGTAGCCAAGGAAACCCAAGTCCTTTTGAAATAGGAGGGGCCATAAGAGATAAGGAAGGGATTTTAGTAGCACTCTATTCAGAACCAGTGGGGAATGGAGACTCATTGAAAGCTGAATTGGACGCAGTCTTACAAGGTGTTCAGATGATAGTTGTCAAGGCACCTAGGCGACCACAGGGCGCTCAGTCGCCTAGGCGCCTAGACGGGGAATTTGAAAGTAGAAAATAAATATCTCTACCCCTCTTAAGCTACTTGATTAGTTTTTTATACTAACCTACATGGATGCTAGCCATTAGCAATAAAATCATTCAAATAAAACATAAAATGCCATCATATATACATCATACCTGTTTCAGGCCAACAAAAATGAGGGAGTGCAACTAAGAAAAGAAAAATTAAGGGGGCGGAGCCCCTGTTTCATTCCCAAAATAAGTTGTCCAAGAGGAAGACTTGGACTATGTTTAAGGGGGTGGAGACCCTGTTTCAGGCTAAAAAAATGGAGAATGTAACGAAAAAGGAGAGAGAAAAATAAAGGGATAGAGCCCCTGTTTCGTTAAAAAAAAAAAACACTATTAAAAAATAGTGCAAAAAATATAGGAAAGTTTTAGAAAGTTGGGGCACAGCCCTTGTTTAAGAAGAAGAAGAAGAAGAAGGGGGCAGTGCCCCTGTTTCATTCCCAAAAGTGTTTTTTTTTAAAGGTAAGAAAGTAAAATAAAGGAGTACCAGTGTGATTTTAGGAAGGAGGAGCCCATGTTTCATCCCAAAAATATTTCTTAAAGAGAAACTTACCTAGAGGTCTTGGACGACTTGGACTGGACAATGGAAACTTCACAGTCCTCGGTTTTTCTACTCTTCTCTCGGTTCAGAACTCAAAGTCTCAAACCCAAAGAAACTTTTGTAGTTTTAATATAAAAGAGAATTACTTTAATAAAAATGGTAACATACAACATGGTGTATTCTAATAAAATAAAACCAACCAATAAAATCATATAATACATATGCGCATTCAAAAAAATAATATAATATATATGGGTGAGCGCCTAATACAAAAAACACCTTGGCATAGGGCAACGCGACCTCTAAAAATCGCCTCGCCTTGACAACCTTGGTTCAGATAGCAAAAGAGATGAATTTGGAGAACCTGGTGATAGAAGGGGACTCCAAGGTGGTGGTGGACTGGATAAAGAATCCAGATTCAATGATATGGTGCTATAGAGATGAAATGAAGAAATTCAAATGACTAACACAACATATGAATCTGGTTATACAATGGGTGGGGAGGGAAGATAATATTTTGGCTGATTCTTTAGCCAAGCAAGGGGTAATAAGGAATCAGTTGTTTTGGGCATTATTTGTAAATCTCTTGCTGTTTTTTCTTTAAGAGTGGGGCTGCATCTTGCACCTCCCTTTGGGATGCTTGTAACAGTTACTTATCCTTTCTGATACCAATGAAATTTTAACTTTTTCTTATCGAGAAAAAGGAACCTAGGAGTAGCTCTAATAGGTGATAAAATGAGAGAAAAGCATATTGAAGTGGTCTGGTCACATGCACAGAAATACCATCCACAGAACCTGTTAGAAGTGATACGTTACAAATTGAACAGGCTAGAAGAGCTAGGGACAGACCAAAAAGGACTTGGGTGGAAGTAACGAAGAAGTAATTGCACCCAAAATTTGACAATGGATATGGGACTGAACAGAATGGAATGGCAAAACAGGATTCATGTACCATATAGTTGGGACAAGGCTTAGATGATGATGGCAAGAAGGAAACATGTTGGAACTATCAGAAATATCGTATGGAAATTTTAAAGAAATTATACAAATGGTGGAAACATTATGAAATTTACAGAATTAAACAATGATAAAGAAGCATAAGTACACCCTTTCAGATTATTATCTTGTCCCAAACCATCAAATACAAGAAGCTAATGTTTGCAGACAAAATAATACATTGTGAAGCTGCCCTGTAGAATTTAAAAGCTAAAACTAAACAATAGAATAAGTTCAAGGAAAACCTAAACTCACAAAAAGAGCACATAATTATAATAGATCAACCAAATAATCTATTAGGTAAACAAAAGCTAAAATTTAATGCTACGTCCAAAAGTAATCTTGAGCTGGCTCAAAGTGATCATGTCCACTAGGAAAGCAATAATACTACTACTCAAAATCTACATATAGTTGCCAACTGATCATTTTATGATACCATCTCCACATAACTCTAGTAGTTCTTATTGGAGAATATATTGATTCTAGTAATATTTGTCAGTACTCAGTATCCATGGAAATGGAAATATGCCGTGAAAATATTAGGGAATATGTTGACATTTTAACAATGGGAAGGATAGATTGTGATAAATACTGGTAGAGGACAACTCAATACAAGGGCATTTTTTATAATTAACTCGATACAAAGCCATGGTTTGGCACAAAATGAGGAAATCTGCTTAAAATGGAAATTTTCAAGTTTTACTGAAAATTGAAGTAAATGCACAGATTAGCTTCTCTCCTTTAGGGGTGTTGATTGAACTTTCATGATGAAGAAGAATTAGTAGATAATTGATGGCTATAATGGCAACTGTAGAATCGAGAGAAGATGGAGAGAATGAAGCGAAAGAAAACTTGGAATCAATTAATGGGAGGGGGCCAAGAATTATTACTAGGCTTATGGGGTTAGGAACAGAAATCACTCATCAAGCAACAATAAGAAAGTTTCACTCAAAATATGATTATATAGATATTTTACTCAGTAGACAAATATATAGACCCTCTAAGGGTGGCCAGTTCTACAAGAACAAAGAGAAAATTAGAGAATGGCCACTATCAGGTTTTGACTCAAAAAAAAAAAAAAAGCAACTCCTAAAACACTTATATGATGTTATGAAACTTCAATTAAAATAGTTATGGCCAAACTAATCAGAAAAGTCCAATTTTGACTTCTTTGCTCTTGCATTATTTGAGTAGGCGATGATCACATATTGCACCATTCTCTCCCCTCATTTCTTCTACTGTCTATTAAGAGCCTTGGCTATCCCTCAAGACCTAGGGTTGCTAATATAACCCCACTCAGAACTAAGAAACTGACTAAAAAGTCTCTAAACATCTCCACCTATAATTAGTAAATAACCCTGGCATAAACAAGATCAAAAACCTCATGAGAGTATTCTATGTTGTAGAAATATGCCATAATTCTTAGCCATCCCTTAGATAACTCATTCCACATGTACGCCCACAAGATTTTGCCCCTAAAACTGAAACAGGCACTGAGGCCAACTCCAATATAACAAAGATAGAAAAGTAAACCAAAAAAAAAAAGTAACAAAGATAGGAAAGAAAGATTGATAACAAAGAAAGGTAAACAAAGAAAACAAAACCGAAAAAAAAAAGTAAACCAAAAATCAAGAAGGTAAATGTACAATGGACAAATAAGTGGCTGAGCAACTTCTTTCTTCCAGAAATGAGGAAAGCATGAGACAAAAAAAAATGCACCTAAGTCCCTCCCAGTGTCCTCTAAAACAAGTCACAGGTATGCACTTTCTTGTGAGGGATTTTCCAGTAAAAGGCTCTAATCTTGGAGAAATAGGATCTTCTGCACCACCTCAGATGGAAAGAATGGGGACAGATGCACTCTACACGAAGGGTATCAAAAAGATTTTGGAGAATGCCAGCCTCAGGGATCAACTCCTGAATAACTTTAAAGCTGAACATTTTGGTTCTGAGCTTCTCAGACTTGTTAGATTTGATAGAATACAAGGGGCATGTTAATTTTAATTCAAAACCTTCAAGAAATGAGTTAAGGGAGGACTTTCCTAGAAGTTGGGACATTTTACGCCAAAAGACTACTAGAAGTCAAAAAGGTTTTTAAAAAGAGGTAGGAGGAAGGCCCTGCTGGTTTGAAGATCCAACTCCTACTGTCAGTGCCCTCAGGATAGATGATATCCTCACCTAGAAAATTCATTCAATTTGTTTGGAGCTACATGTTTTGGCTTTGAATGTCTCACATTTTTTTTTTGATAAATGAATATGAATGTATTAGATTTATAAGGCAAATAACTTGCAAGTTTTAATTCAAGACCGCCAAAGGATAAGTTAATAGAAGAGCTAGAAGCTTTAAGGTACTTGACATAAAATGACCACTAGAAAGGGTGAAGAAATTTAAAATTGGAAAAAAAATTCTACCCTTCATAATGTAGTTTGTAGTCATGACTTGTTAACATGGGAGTTGGGAGATACATTTGATGGTAAATTTATGTTAAAATGACATCTTTTCAAATTGAACATAGAATAAATCTTTCTTCAGGTCAGATTCTTAAAGTGTTACCTGCAAGCATCCATCTTCACAGCCAACAGCCCAAAAATTGGCATTTCCAGCCAAGACTGTTGCTTTTCCAGACAACCGATCAGACCAAAGAGTTTGAGACCCTCTTCTGCATGTAACTTCTGTTTCTTTACTTGTAAATGCATTTTCCACCCCAACCACATCATTGACAGCACGTTCAACAGGACAAGCTTCCAAACAGACTGGACTGCAATCTTCTCCTTCTTTTTTACCAAAGACCCTAATTGAAAGAGCTGTACTACAAGCAATATGAGAACCAGAAGCCTTGACAGTCCCCGATTGTTCTACATTTAATTGTCTATCAGCTGCAGAGAAAGGAACCTTCTCAATGACCAGGTTCTCACTAATGGATGCCCTAGCAGTGATTCCTGACCGCTCTTTAGCCCCGCAATGGTCTGTTTCAAAACTTCCACTAAATGGTCTCTTCAGAGAACCATCCCGAATTCCACCATCAGCAGGAACCACCCCATTATCATCCCTTCTCTTATCTGAGTCAGTGCGATGAAACTCAAGTGCTTGAGCATTGGGCCCACCAGAGATACTTTCCTGATGAGCAGGCACCCCTACTGCCTCAGGAATAATTCTTTTTCTGCCATCAGGCCGTCTATATTCCCTTTGCTTCACAGGACTAGAAATCCGGGTGGAAGTTACAGCTTTGTTTAACCCATCTCCACCAGCTGTTCCATTTTTCTTTCCATCGTCAACTTGGGACTCAGAAGCCTTTAAAAGTGTCTGAGTCATATCAGGAACACCCAAATCACTGGACAACTTTCCAGGAGTTTGGTTCTGCAAACCACCAATGTTTGCCTTTTTACTTGTGGCTTGCCTAGCCGAGGCTGCCTCTAGCAATAACTGTGCTGGGCTTTCAGCTAAGTTTGCTTGCCTTCCTCTGACATCACCATAGCGGTTTCTTTTTAACTCATCAAGCTCAGAGTCACTAATTCGGTGGCCAATCTCTTTTACCTCAAAATGGAATGTTGCCACAGTCCCATCTAAGGAACAGGCAAAAAGTGAATATCCATCAGGACTCCTGTTTGAGAAAAGGAAAAAGAAGTAAGCACAGGAAAATATTGTTTTTTTAGGGGGCATGGTTAAAACCAGAAATGAAAGGGAACTTCAGATTAAAATCATTAAAATAAGAAGGTTCTTTAAGTGTCTTGGGAAAAATGAAGTGGCCATTAAACAGCTTCTGTTCATTACCAGGATAAATCTACAACACTTTGAGTAAAGAAATGCTTGGCAACAAAGAGAGGACGAGCACTTGCAGTAGTCCATACAGTAATAGTGCGATCCTGGCTCCCAATTGCAATGACATTGTATGGTTGTGATTCCTTTGCTGCAGTCTTCGAGGCTCCATTAGTCCATCCAGATGGTGCAGCTTTTACTTCCTGACCATTGGAAAAATTCCTCCGGAACATTGAGTGGTTAAATTTCACCACAATAACAGGAGCATTGTGTCCTAAGAAATCAAAGGTGGCAGACCATTCCCCTCTTTCTAATACAGGTGCAGAATGCCTTGGCTTCTGAAAACCATGAGTGGTGGTGATGAAATGGCCACAAGGTGACCACCCAAGCCGCCTAAAAAAGGTTGATCCAAGCTGAAAAGACATTTTCCAAATTAGAATTGCAGAAAGAAAAATAAAAGGTTAAGAGAAGAATGTTAGATAAGGAGCACAATCATACAGATTTTGCCCAGTGTCCATCCGTCCTATGAGCAAGACTCCAGTCACTAGTTCGCCAAATAATAACAGTCTTATCATCTGACTGGCTAGCTATGAAAGAGCCAATGGGATCCCATGCAACACCTTTAACTAGACTGGAATGGCCCCTTAGAACAGCAGTACAAATACCATTACTCATGTTCCAAATGTGTACTGTGTTATCCAAACTCCCACTAGCTAATATTGAGTCATCTGGAGACCAATTAAGATCTACCTAATTCAATCATGAAAAGAACTCACCGGTTAGATAGATGCTGATAACAACACTATTTATCAAATCATAAACCAAGTGAAAGCATTTCAATTACCACATCTGCAGTGTGTCCTCTCAAAGTCATGGTAACTTTCCAATTCTCGACATCAGGGGGCTCTCCACTCCCGAACTCAGTAGTGCCTGACCCAGGTTTCCTTTCGTGAATGAGAATGACCTGATCATCAGACCCCGATGCTAAATAGCGCCCATGCTTTGCCCACCTAACACAATTAACTGATCCAAAGTGATCACGGAGGGTTGCCAGTAGTTTCTGAGTTGATTGGTCATTTTCTGAGTCCCTATCCACACATTTCATATTCCATATCCTCACCTACATAACATTATACAAAAATTAGATTCTCATATATTTATGTCAAACAAAATAGTACGCAATTAAATAGTTATTAATCAAATTCATGAAAAATAGATAAAATTATTTATGTCAAAGTTACAATTGATAAGTTTGCCTACATGTTAATTGACAAGTTTGCGTACATGTGAATCTGGCATAAAGTTTTCTCATTAAAATGGTTCTTCAGGGCATTTCATAAAATAAGACAGAAATAGAAGGCATAATCAATTTGTTTTTCTTATTTGGTATTGGAAAGATTAGAAGTTGGATTAAAAATTGCAACCATAAACACCCAGTTACAATGACCTGTAGCATTATAAAGTTCAATAAGAACCTGAAGGAGGGAAGCTAGCTAAAAACGTCTTCAAGGAAGTAATTAAAAAAAGTCATTACCTTTGGATCAGTAGTAAAATCCACCAACTAAAAGTAGAAATTCAGCATTAACAGAAGTAGGAAGACTAATATGGTCAGCAATAAACTCCTCCTAAAGTTCTAATACTCTGACTGAACTTCAAGTACAGACAGGCGTTAAGTGATGAGATATAGAAACATGACCACATAAATACTATTCGTCAACCTTAAAATCAGACATATATAGCCATGCATAGCTTATTGTTAACTAGCATCTACCACCAAAAAAGAAGTTATGGTTAATTGGCAGGTATATTAGAAGCTTGACTCCTGACTAAAAGGTGAATTTTAAGCAGGTTATGAGCGCATGATTTTTTTTTCTCCACTGTCGCTACATAGTACCACAAAGCTGCATTCTACGACTTAGATGTTTCATGGCTCTACCAAATGCATCTTACAGTGTAAAAATTGTTCCATAATAACCAAAGTACTTAACCTAATAAGAAAGCTAAAAATCAAAAACTGAAAGTGATCAAATATCAAAAGCTCGGTTCAGAGAGAGAACTCATAAAAAAAAACCACCTGAGCCAAAAATTTTAACAAGAAAAAATATGAAGTACAACGAAAACGGAGAGGACCCAACAAGATTTAACCGGGAAAAAAAAGGACTACCCAGATAAGAAAAACTCTACCTTGTGATCACCTCCACCAGTTGCAAACCTAAGTCCACCTGGTTGAATGTCGATAGAGAAAATTTGCATTCCCTCATGTCTAATCCAACTTGGCTTGTCGCATTTCATCTCTGGTCCTGCTTCTGAAGTCCAAAACACTTATTCCCCTTTCCCTTCAACATACAATAGAAGGGTCTGTAAATCCATGAGCCAAGTCCAAAACCCTAAACCAGTTCATAAACAAAACCCTAGATGGGTTCCTGAGCAAAACCCTTTGACGGAATTCAAAACCCAGAAGCTTGGGAACCATGAAAGCAAAGCCTCTGTTTCCGAAGGTCAAGGTCAGACCCTGGGAATCTTTGGAGTGATTTGCATTGCAAGCAAACCACTGCAAAAGCAAAAAAATAAAAATAAAAAATAAAAAAGAAAGAGAAAGGAAAATGAAAGAATAAAAAAGAAAGAAAACAGAGAGAGAGGGGGCAGAGGGGGTTAATTAACTATTTTTTTGTGTAACTCGTAAATTATGTCATTATGTAATATTCTTTACATAGATCCGCGAACTACTTGAGTGATGTTTGGGTGACTTTAAAACAAGCGCTTTTATGCTTATTGCATATTAGGAAAACACCCAAAAATGCGTTCGGTGAACAGTAAATGGGCATTTTTACTGGAAAAGGCCCATTAGAAAAACTGAAAAAGTAGTTGATGGACAGCTTCCTGCCTGCTCCTTGTATCATCAAGAATGCTTCTTATTTTTTATCCCGTTTTTGCCCTTTTAAATTTTCTTAGTATCCAGAATGCCCCCATCACCTCTAAAACCCTTCCTCCATCTTCTCCATTTTTTCTTTCCCTTTTTAATTCATACCACTTGCGGTGGCGACGACCTGCCATAAGTTCGATTACCAATCATTTTTCTGTTTTTTCTTAAAAATTAGCAAGGACCCGTGCGATGCATGGAAAAACTTAAAAGATTTAATAATTTTATTTTTTTGATTTATAAAAAACAATTATTGTTAATTGAATATGAATAAATATTTTTTAATAAATTTAGTTTTATTAATAATTTGTAGTAATTTTAAACATTTTATTCTTTTTTTTATTTTTAAATAAAATTTTGATTAATTTTAAATAAATAAAAATAATTATAAAAGCTAACATTTTTATTAATTCCACTGATAATTAATAATTATATAGGACCAACAATGGGGTGAGTTAAGGATAGGGCACCCCATCCCTTTCCCTGTCCCATAGTCAAGACACTCTACCCTATCCCTGCCCCGTCCCCAATGCCACGCGGGTTCAAGGCAAGGTAACTACTCCTCAATGCCGGGCGAGTTCAGGGGCAAAGCACCCAATTCCTCATCAAAGATGGATAATCCCTGAATTTCCCTATCCCGTCTCTAGTATTGGACGGGTTCAAGTAGAGGTGTAAATTAGGTTGTGTTGGGTCAGCACGACACAATCTGCATGTGGTTCGCACAAAGTGTGAGTCGTGTCGTGCTGGCCTACAAAGCGTCCCAGGCCATGCCTCCCTCGTCTAGGATAATTTGGGGGGTCCGTTCGATACGGCCATGGCTCGACCCCCCACGGGCCCGTGCCGTGCTGTGGGTTGGGCTGGTCCATGGGCCAAGCCTTGGGATAAGCCATATGTGATTTTCTTATTGGTTTAATGGATAATTATGTGAAATTAAAAAATAAATAAATAATTCAAAAAAATAGAAAATTAGGAAGGGAGATTTGAACCAAGGAGAGAGATATTGACATGGCATGACCAATTTTAATAAATATATATAGAGAGAGAGAGAGAGAGAGAAAAAGAAGGAGAGATTTGATCAAATATTGATTCCCACCACTCCATCTCACTCCTCTATTTATTTATTTCTTTTTTGTTGTTTGTTTTGAATCAAATGCCTCTAGCACTTTTTGTGATAAAGCAAGTATGGTTCATACGCTTTTTCGTTTTATTCATACATAATCATGGTAGCAAAGAAAATGACATTTAATGGATAAAATGGTGTTTATACATGTTTTTTTATGATTACATACACAATAGAGGATAATATTGTCTTTAAATTTGACAAAAGCCTATTTTTGAACCACGCAATGTTGTCAAATGTGTTTTCTTTTTCATTAGAAAAAGCACCTCACCAAATGGATGTTAAGTGCATTTATCAAAAAAGTACTACTCAAAAAACCCATTTATAGGCAAGAAACCCCACTAAACGCAGCCTTGGTAAAAAACTACATTCTATTTAGGGTCATCATTTACACAGAGAGAATGACCCTAAATAGTACATAGTTTTTTTTTTGGGTTGTGAGCGTTGGAAAATGGCTCACTTGCCACTTGGGCGGGAAATGGAATCCCCACCCATCAAGTAAATGAAAAGGAGGTGATGGGACCTCTGAGACTTACATCGAAAAGTGCTTTTGATTTATTAGTGACACCAAAGCCCAAGGCACCGGCTAACCAGTCCAAGTAAGACTCGAATGGGAGAGGGAAGGGGTTAGGCACACCTCGGGTCCAATAGGTGGGGCCCACATGGGATTCCAAATAAGCACAAATTTAAGCAAGCAATACCATGACTAATTAAAAGCAATTAATAATCTGTAAAACCAAACTAAAAGCATGAATGAACTAGGAAATCAACCATGAAAGGCTGCTTGGATGGGCTTTGCCTTGACTGAAGCCGAACTCACCCAGAAACCCATTTTTATTTTCATTCATAGAGTAGGCTATTTGATCAAAGTGCAGACAAGGGAAATACAGAGTATGCAGACTACTAATCTCAATGATCAATGAAACAAAATCAAGCGATAGAATGGTGTTTTCCATGAGAGATGACGATCATGAGCACAATGAGACAATAAGATGCAGACAAGAGAAAAAAAAACATGATGCAGTTGAACCTCTAAACAGTCACTGGAACACACCACATCTTCGAGGAATAACAACGTATAGATCAAGATGAGTTATGCATTAAAACTGAAATGAATAGCTAAAATGAATAGCATAGCTAGCATTAACGCGGTGAAGAACAGAGCTGGTATGCGAAAGAAATACACACTATTTTCTATTTAACCAACGATAAAAAAAAAAGTCTGAGAATAAACAAAAATAAAATAACATAGCTAGGAGACATGAAAAATTAACACCCTTTAGAGGTTATACCGAAACTGGTTTGATGAAATCTCAGTGACGGTTCCGGTAGTTACCCCTCCTCACTATTAGACTTCGGTCATTTCATACCATCAAAGTGTACATATAACAAACGAGGAAGGGAAATCAACAGTAGAAAGTGGAAGATATACTAACTATGTCTTGGCCTGGACTTGATCGATGCATAAGGGATGTTTGGGCCCGTCACAATTTCAAAAGAGGGCTCTAAGGAGAACCATGATTGTAACTGGTTTGTGAAGATTTAATGAAGGAGACTAGGCTTCTCAGCTGTGTGTTGAGGGAGATATAGACTTCACTGAGAATGGGAGTTGAACAAATAAATGAGAGAGAGAGAGAGAGAGAGATGGAAAGGGGAAAGGATCGCCGCCTTTGCTCGCTGCCACCACTGTGTGTTGAACAAATGATTATAGGTGATTTTGGCCGATTCAATAAGGGAGTAAGAAGAAGGAGAGGAAGAAGAAGATAGAAGGATTGAGGGAGAGAGAAAGAGTCGGAAAGGTAGGTCGGAGATGGAGGTTGATTTTCGCCGCTATGCATCGAAGGGTCGAAGAGAGCATAGCGAATAGTGTATTTTTTCGAATTCTTCACCAGATTAGGGTAAATGAAGATGTTTAGGTTGAATTTATATGGGAGGTAGGGGTAGTTTCATAATTTTAGGGTATTCAAGGGCACTTTTGTAATTTTAGAAGAGCTTAGTCAAACTGGGTCAAAGGGTGGATGGCTGAAATTTTGGGTAAAAAATGGAGTCTAACCATAGAGAGTATGTTTGCATGTGTGGGCTAACAGGATTGGTCGAAATTGAATATTTTTGGATGGAAGGGTAAATGAGGGTATTTTTTGTTGAAATTTTGTAAGATGGGGTTTTTAGACATTCAGAATTGATTAGTGGGGTCAGATTGGCGCAACTAGGCCCAGATTGGGCAGATCTAGAAAGGACTCAATTTTGTTAATTTAGGGGCTCAAAATGTAAACTTTGTGCGATGAATGGGCAAACAAAGGCAGTTTTGGGTGAAATTTCACATGGTAGGGTTGTCAACCACTCTGAGGTGGTTCAAAAGATTTGATTGGTTTAGATGTGTTCGGATCAAGGGAATTTGGATACGGGTTGTGGGTGCGAGAAGAATCAAAATGGAATCTTTGTTTAATGGATGGATGAACAGAGGAATCTCGAGTTCAAATTTCATGGGTAGGTGTTTTGGGATGTTCTAGGTCTGATGGTTGTGTCTGATTTAATGGTTGAGGTGTAAGTAGGGGGGTTGATCGGGGCATCAGATTGTTATCAAATAGGTTTGACAGTGGATCTGAGGGCTTTTGGGCTAAAAGTTGGGATTTTTGGGTTTTTGGGTGTTTTAGAGAGGTCGAATGAGTCTAATCAGGTGTTTAGGTGAATTGGGGGTAGAGGTTGCAAATTGAGCAAAAATCGGGTGCTGATAGTTGCCCCTCTTTGTTGTGAGGGAGGAAACTACAAAACAACAAAGACCAAAATGCACATAGAGATTTTTGCAAAGGATGGGCTTGAAAGAGGGGCAAGACAAATAAGGAAGATTAAAGCGAATGGAAAGATGAAGAAGAGGAGTTCCCGTGCAACACAGGTAAGTTTTATTGTCATGTGATTGCTTAATTCCTGAGGAATGGTGTGCTCTTAGGAAGAAAGGCTCAGTACATGTCAAACACATCAAAAACTAATATAGTAAAACACAATAAGCCACGATGCAAATTAGAAAATACATTTTCTATCTGAAAAGTAATGAAAATCGTTTTACGACATTAAAAAAATAAATAAAGTCATAACGCAAGACAGAAAATCCACTGTATTCCAAGAAATCAACGAAAAGTAATGATATGCCATGATGCAATTTTTAAATTGTTAAAAAGCGCGATATGCCACGATACAATCGGAAATCCACTTTATGTTGGGAAACAAGCAAGAAGTCATGATATGCCATAGTGCAATTTTAAAACTGCTAAACAACGCGATATGTTGCGATACAATCGAAAATCCACTTTATCCGAGAAACAAGCAAAAAAGTCATGATATGTCATGACATAGTTTTTAAACTACTAAAAGTGTGTTATACCGTAACGCAATCAAAAATCCACTTTATGCCGGGAAACAAGAGAAAAAAGTCATTCTATATCATGACGTAATTTTTTAATTCCTAAAAAACGCTATATGCCATGTTGCAATGGGAAATCCACTTTATGCCAAAAAACAAACGAAAAGTCATGTTATGCTATGACGCAATTTTTAAATTCCTAAAAAATGTTATATTCCACAATGA